TTGCCAAACACGTTCAACTATCAAACTAGAGGCGAACAAAACGCACATAAAAAACCTCTCAAATAAAGAACTTACAAACGAGCAGATTAATTTACTGGCAAAAGGGCTTAAATTCATTCCAACACCCGCTACAAAACAAAAACAGATCAGACAACAACTATCGTGTGACTTTGATCAGTTCGCAAGGAGAATGCGTCCGATTTACGTATTCCGATGGGAGGACAAAAAAACCCATCCCTGCCACGTTAAATCTACATGGATACCACCAATACAAAAATCAGTAGCCCTTGAAAGCTATTTAGAGGAGGTTAAAAGTGACTTTTCAGAAATAGAAATTACAAAGCCAAAAGATAATTTTCTTCCGGCAGAACGCAAGGCGCTGAGGGCCTTGAAACGTGACTCTGAGTTAAACCTCAAAAAGGCCGACAAAGGAACAACAACCGTAGTCATGAACAAACACGAAAAAAATTTGCCGTTCCTTTCCGAAATGACAGCCATTCTTTCAATCTTCCTTTCGTGATGCTAGGACAATTACCACTAAGAAATTTAACCTTTTCCTCGGCAGAAAAAAACGCAGATTCCAGAGTTATATGGTCAGACATGGAGTGTTTCTGGTGTTTCTCGAGAAACGTTGACCCGATAGCCTCGTCCTGAAACTGTAACTCCGCGCACCCTTTGCATTGCAAACACAAATGCGATAAGGGCTATTGAAAAAGCAAACCAAATATAAACAACCCCAAGTAATGTTAATGAATTCTTGATAAGGACCAACAGTTACATGTACCTTGAGGAACTCCTTGACAAATTCAATTCCTTCCTGCGGGGAAAAAGGAATAAAAAGGTAAATAAAACAGTGCAAGGCTCGCTAAAAGTATACAATAATCTCATTTGTCCCTATAAAGCATCATTGTAAAAGTACCCCACGAACTAGTAAAATATACAATTTCTTTTAAATACCTCAAAATTTTTTTATTATATAATAAGCATAGTACGCATCGTCTGATTGGTCAATTCTATTTCTAAGCGGATACTTTATCAGGTTAGAGAGCCCACACATAACTAGTTTTTGTCATAAAAGTAAAAAAACGCATTTTTTTCCGGGCTCTATAACGTGACAAAGCCGGCCACTTGGGACGTTGTGAGAACACGAGAAAGCTTTCCTCGTGTTTTCCCAACATCCTGCGTGGCTTTATCACGAAATCGAGTCCGGAAAATGGTGTTATGTAGTGATAATATGCAACGTAATTGTTTTACTTTTTCCGTTTTATCGCAAGATAATTATATTAATCAAGAAAAGGGTTCCACGTAAATGTACGGCAGATCCCCTATAGGCATCGGTGTATTTATTACCTTGCTAGGGGGAGATGAAGCTACAGTCTCACAGGCTTGAAGGACAGGCGTGAAGCCATTGTTGTCAACTGCATTTGCCATCTGGTCAAGATTTTCTGGACGGGTCTGAGTACGAATTGATGATTAAGTCAAAATATTCACTGATGCAATTAGAGGCAACAAAAACTACCATAGTCTAAGGCACTAGATATAAAATTAGTAGACAATCGCATCATACTAGTTTTGGTACCTGTGAAAACCCTCTGCGTTGTTAATTTTTACTTTTTCCAAAATAGTAAAACTTCCCAGAATCCTCGGTCAAAACATTCTGAGTGATCTCATCTCATTTTTTCGTTGGTTAGGCTGACTCTACTTATTAGAAACTTTGACTCTCGGCACAAATAGCCAAGATCCGCTTAAACAGTCAAACCTCGATTGCCTGGACTAATAATTTGACCTCGACTTGCTTCTCTGGTCTCATTTTTCAACAGGAATATTAGTAAATTACGTTCGAGATCCGTGACGACTCTTTTTTTTTTTAATCAAACAAAGAAAACGTGATAAAACTCTCGTTGGAATTGAATTTGTTCGACTTTTCGAAGCTGTTGAATATCCTTGGAAGTGTTTAACATAGCTGGAAAGACAAAACAGTGTTGACGCTATTCAACTAATGCAGCTTCAAAGAATGGTGAAATTGGTGACGCGCACACGGTTCAGCATTTTAAGGTTATTTAATTCTTTGAATAACATTGATAGATCTTCTCCTTTTCTCGTGAAATAAACAACTTCTACAGTCTCAATACCTTTCTAAGGATTATCTTCATGTAAGTCCTCAGATCATTCTCGCTGCATATGGAGGCTAACATGTGCAGTATGTTTCTCCCAGTCCTCGTAAGTCCTATGCTGGGATCTGCCTCATGATCCAGAAGCATCGAAAACTGGTCCATATGTGACTGGAATAAATGGAGTGAACTAGCTAAAGACTTTTCATGTCTTGTCAGAGTAAAAAAAGGCATTAAAATGCACACTATACCCTTTCTGAAAAGGGTCACTGGAAATTCCAAGAAAAGGAAGAGGAGAGTAAGAAATTAGTTGAATCCAAATATGAAGTACCCAAAAGATGACGGCAGAGAGAAGGAAGAGGACTCAAACCAATGCGGACGAAAGTGAGGCATTCATTTCTTCTGAACAAACACAGTTAGATTCTCTCAGCGCAGAACAAACCCTCTTTATTCACAGAAAAGAACAAAAGAACAACAGGATTGGCTCGCCACACACAAAATGGTTGGCTGCCTTCATTGCACGTAAAAATGCTCCCATCACCAAGTTACGATTACGGAAATTAATTATTTTTTTAATTTTGGAAATATTCCTATGAACCCAAACCAAAAGACTAACAGAGCAAACAAGGAAAGTAAATGTTGTTTGGCACAACATAATGAAATATGTACCTTTGACAGTGCAACCATAAGGGGTGTCAGACCATCTGATCTGATGCAATTTACTTCTGCACCTCCAGCAATTAATTTCTCCATCATTTCATTGCTTGCTCTCATGACTAATGATTTAAAATGCTTCTGAAGCTGTTCTCGCTGTTCCCAATTGTTTCCAGATAAAGTCTAAGGAAGACAACAGAATAGAAAGAGATCAAAAACAGTTTTTTTCTTCGGTGGGGGGGGGGTTGGGGGCAGGGGCAGGGGCAGAGGGCATAGGCACTCAAGGATCCCAGTAGCTTTGCCCTTAAGCATGAGGCAACTAGGAGGATGACTACTCTCTCCCCCAGTCCATTGCAAGGTTACCTCCCCCATAATTCACCAGGGCCCTGGGATTTTGCCATGACCCATTTATACTCCTGGGTTGAGATAGCCTGGGTTGAGATAGGCACTATGAGTGAAGTTTTTTCCTGTAAGTGACACAAATCAAAACTAAAAAGTTTATACTTTTATATCACTAAATTAAACCTAGTATTTAGAAGTATATTAACTGCTACATGCAATTTGATAAGCTTATTTCTAAATGTTTAATTGAAGTAAGGTTAATAGGCCTTTTGCAGCTAAGCCATCACGTGACCTACTTTTCATGAAATTATGGGCTATAACTTAGCCAAATTCAGAAATGGAAAAAGCGATTCGAAAATAACAAAATGGCCAAGTTTGAGGCCTCCATTATTCAAAAATGGGATTTGATGACACTCTGAGTTTTTTAATAAATAAGAAGGTTTATATGGAAAAAGTTGCTGGAGAGCAAGGCCATGCTCTCCACCAACATTTTCCATACAAATCCTCTAAATTTTCCGAAAGTTCAAACCGCTGTAAAAACAGTGCTCTGTAATTCCCGGGGCCCAAACTTGGTCGTTTTGGTATTTTAGATCTCTGGTATTCTTCAAGTTGTATCCCATAATATATATCTAAAATTGATCACGTGACTCCAGCTGCAAAAGGCCTATTATAGTGAAAAGTTAACTTTTTAATAAACAACAACTTGCACTATCAGCTTAGTGCATGCCAACATGCTCCACAACAAAATTTCAAATGACGTGAGCTCCAAAAACCATACCCTCATTTGTATTATTATAAAAGCTACACTTACAACTGTAGCATCTGGGTACAGCTCTGATAGGTCGATATCATCAGCCTTTTCTGCTTGTAAATGCAGCACTTGGGAACCGTTCACGTTAGTTTTTCCTGCTGAACCATCAGCTCCCAATTCTAACAATGTCTCGATCAGAGGAAAATTATTCTGTAGAAAAAAAAGAAAAACCAAATGTACTCTTTAAGGGCTGGTAAATAAAAGGACTTACATCTTTGGTGAGACTTCTTGTAAACAGTCGGCTGACTGTTGGCCGTTTGTCGGCCAGCTGTTGGTCGCCTGTCAGCCGACTGTTGGTCATCAGTCGACCGTTTGTCAGTTGACTGTCGGCCGTTTGTCGGTCGACTGTCGGCCGTCTGTCGGTCGACTGTTGGCTAACAGTCGGCCGACAGGTTTTTTCGGGTAGCTGTTATTGAATTTTACCCATAACTAACCCTTTCACTCCCAGGGTCAAAACATCAATTCTCTCCACTGTCTCTCACTTAACAGATGAACTGTATGGGGACTGCACACGAACTGGTTGAGCGGAGTCTCGGCGATACAACGTTTAAAATGCATGTTCGATTGAACTTTCAAGCAATGTGATGTGCGATAACTGGCGGCGGTTACGCTACCCTTTAGAGCAGGATTGCCCCAAAACTTAGGGTGGCTTTTCGCTTGCTACACTGGTGGCAGCGGTGTTTAACTGAGTCAAAATCCAAATTCCAGTGGACTCAAGAATGTGACGCAGCATTCAAGCAGTTGCGTGAACGGTTAACAACTTCTCCATAGTTACCGCACCCGAAATTTGATGACTCCTTCAGACTCGACTGTGATGCATCGAAATATGCCATTGGAGTTGTGTTGTCACAGGGGGACTGGAATGAGGAATGCGTGTTTGCTTATGCATGTAAATCTCTTAATGCCTCACAGCAAAACTGGGTGACCTATGACAGAGAGTGGTGGGCAATCGTTTGGAGTATACGCCATTTTCATCCTTATTTGGCGGGTAGACATTTGACAGTGGTGACTGATCACAAGCCCTTAGTTGGCAGCAGAAACATTGATCCAGGAAGTGACCCCACCAGTCGGAGAGCGAGATGGGCTATTGAATTATCTACTTATGACTTTGTCATTGTGCACCGTGATGATTTGGAGCATATGAACGCTGATGCATTGAGCCGTGTACCAGCAGAAACAGTGAACAACGTCCGAGATGACGCGATGGAGGACCTAAGGATCCAACAGCAGGCTGACGTTGACATTTCTCAACTGAGGGGGCGGATTGACCAGGGAAGGAAACCCAGAGCATCTTCTCTGAAGAGCGGAGGACGTGAATTGCGCAAATTGTATGATCAGTATGGCCGTTGCAGTTTGCGGGATGGGGTAGTTTACCGGAGATGGAAGCCTACAAACAAAGTTAAATGGCAGTGGCAAGCAGTCCTTCCAAAGATGATGCGTGAAAATGCCATTTACTCGTTACATGATGAGTCTGGTCACTTTTGTCAGACGAAAACTCTGAACAAGGTGAAAGATCGATATTTCTGACCAGGAATGTCCACAGACGTGAAAGATTGGTGCACGAAATGTGCGAAGTGTCAACGGAAACGCGATGCAGTGCCGAATGTGAGAGCCCCACTTAAACCTATTATCACGACTAGACCATGTGAGCTCGCCACTATAGACTTGGTAGTATACTCAGTGTCAAGCGATGGGAACAGGTATGCCCTAGTGGTGATTGACAACTTCACAAAATACTTGGAACTGTTTGCGCTTAACGAAGGAACTGCAGCGGCTATTGCGGACAAGCTGGCACACGAGTATATTCCCAGGCTTGGAGCCCCGGAACAGCTTCATAGTGATCAGGGGACAAATTTGAATTCCAAAATAGTGATTGATGTGTGTGACATTCTTCAAACGTGTAAAACACGGACGACACCATTCCACCCGCAGTCGGACGGAGCGACTGAGCGAGTAATTAGAACGGTTAACGTGATGCTCTCCAAGATGGTGAGTGAGAATCAGAAAGACTGGGACGAGAAACTTCCTGGCGTCATGATGGCCAACAACTCGGCAGTTCACGAGAGCACCGGTTTTACCCCATATTTTCTCGAGCATGGACCAGTTGATCTTGTAGCAACACCAGTTCCGGAACCTGGATACTCGCAGACCGCGTTTGGGAAGAAGTTGAGAACGACATTAGAAAATGCATTTCACTTGGCTCGTGAGAGTTTGGATACTGCCCGCCAAAGACAGAAAGTGGGCTATGACTAAAGGGCTAGAGAGAAAGAATACCGTGTTGGCGACCTGGTGTGGTGGTATGATCGCCCGACAAGAAAGGGGCGATGCCAAAAATTTAACTGTCCGTGGGTGGGGCCTTGGAAAACCGTGAAGCAAGTGGGAGATGTTGCGTACAGGATCCAGTACTGTGGAGCAAAAGCTGTAAGAACCCGCAGAAGAGTAGTACATCACAACCAAATTAAACGATGCACAATTCCACCGGCCAATGTAGAAGGGAGGCGCAATGAGAAGGATCCACAAGGAAATCAAGATCCAGTTCTGGTAATGCCAAATCTAGTTGTTGTTGATGAATCTCGTGGGGATAGTAGTGGCTGTAGGAGATGATTGAGAGCCTCGACGCAGATACAACGGCTGGACCGTTGGCAGGTACAGTGGGGGAGCCGGAGGTCGAGGATCATGAAAATCCAGGAGCAGAGGACGAAACAGAGGAGGCGGCAAGTTCGGACTCTGTTGGATGACTCCCGGAGACTGCAGATGGAAATGGTACCACCGGAAGTCGCGTCCAACGGATAACGCAGAGTGGTGGACAGTCGCGAATGCGACAATGTCCTGACTTTGAATATTATTGATTGATTAGTTTTTTTAAAGAGAAACTGTAGTCCAGCATTAGGAGGGGGGGGGGGGGGAAGAGTGTGACAAATGAATCGTAGGCGGACTGGACACGAACTGGTCGAGCGGAGTTTCGGCGATAAAACGTTTAAAATGCATGTTCGATTAAGGTGGCTTTTCGCTTGCTACGCATATTCCACTTAATTTTTGCTTCGGAAATTTGGTGCTAATTAATTCAAATAGAAACTTGCACAAACCTGGAGGACAGCAACCATAATCGGTGTTTGACCTTCTTTGTTGAGAGCATTTAAGTCTGCTCCAGCTGATACAAAGAGCTTGGCAAGCTTACATGACACATCAGCAAGATTTGTCTTCAGCAGTGGAGGTTTGGAATATCTCAGTTCTCTATCCTGTTGAGTAAAATACACAAAAGTTGAAAAGCGTTGGTCAAATTTGGTAATTAACATAGTAATCAACTCATTCTACTTGTTACTCTACAGTGTGGTGATTAATACAGTATTTTAATAGTGAACATATACTGTGCCACTATTTTGAGCCATAGAGAAAAAACTCATAGCATTAATGAACAATTTCCCTTGATGATAATCAAGAACAAACTGCTAAAGAATCATACTCACCCAAGGTTGACTGTGAAAAATGGAGCTAGCAGCCAAATAATGAAGCTGTATAAATAAGAGTAAAAGAGATCATTTTTAGTTCCTATCACGTTTACAAATGAGAACACAATGCTGGCGCACTGAAACACTTAAGAAACCTACTGGTGTGCACTGTTCAATATCTGCTTTGTTGACATCAGCTCCTTTCTTCTCCACCAGAAATGTAACCATCTGCAATAAGGTCTCGTTTAGAGTTGAGCAGCTGAGCTTTTGACAGAGTAATGTTCGTCCACAGTCATCGGGAAAATTTACATCGACATTTTCTAGACTGAGAAGATAATCAGCACAAGGGATTTGATCCTTCATGAGTGCTATGGCCAAAGGAGTGACCTGAAAAAAAAAATTCACAAGATATTAGAGAAAAATTTCTGGACACTATGAGGTGCAGGGATTGAAAAGAAAGTTATACTCATGTTAATCTGGAAGCTGCAAAGTACAAGTACATGCCTTCCACTGGTTGGCTGCATTTGGATCCCCTCCTGCTTGTATCAGCATCTTTAAGCAATGTAGCCAGCCATAAGCTGCTGCATAGTGTACTGGAGTATTTCCAGATGTGTCTACAGCACACGGATCAACACCAAGCCTCAGGAGATATGCTGCAATAGGGGAGTGGCCATTCTTTGCAGCATACATAAGGGGTGTCTTCTTCCACTTCCCTGTTTTAAATAATTATAAATCTGTCTATTGATGACATCAAAATATGAACCATCATCTCATTGTTGATGAATTTCTCACCCAAACTGGGGCACAATTTTCACACAAAATGGGAGTAGAAAGAACTGTTTTCCCAATTTAAAAGTTTGAGTACTGTTTCTATCTAAAAGGCTCTGGAGAGAGGATTGGGTGAGGTCATACTCAAATGTACACCATACAGTGCATGCAACCACAGTGTAGACTGCTCTACTACTGTCTATCACTGGACTATGAAAACAACTTCATTGTTTGAAATCAAAGCCATTGTCATGTTTTGCTACCTCTTTTATCAGGAGAAGCTTTTAGCTTAATGAGTTCTTTTACAACATCTAGATGCCCTCTAGCAGCAGCCAGCATCAATGGCGACATGTTTCCTCTTGCCGAGCCAGTCTGAAGGTCAACATTACCACCTGCAGCAACAAGCAGCTTGATGATGCCCTGTATCATTATGTAAAAATTAATGCCTTAGTTAATTTACTCAATGATGAAACATTATAATACCTCTGATGGGCTGACTTGCCGTAACACTGACCAGTAAGCACTAAGGAGTGACCTCAGTTGCCAGAAGCACTTACCAAATGCCCATTTTTAGCGGCATAGTGGATTGCAGCCATACTGGGTTTGTTCTTAATATCAATTGCAATCCTGGGTGTTGAGACTTCTCTAGATTCATCATCATCATCATCATCATCATCATCATCATCATCACCATCATCCTGATTGTCACTTGCTAGAAGCTCTTTGACATTCTCCTCTCGTCCATGTTTACAAGCAATCATTAAAGGTGTCATACCTCTTGGTCCAGGATCATTTGGATCAGCCCCTCTAGAAGATTTTTTAAAAAAAAATTTTTTGAACTTGGTAGATGTTTTACTATGATCTAACATTTAACATGAAAGATGGCTGAAAACATCCACCACAAGGTAATATATATATATATATTTTAATTTAGTCAATAAAAAGACTACCAGTATGTTTTTTAAGAAGGTCCCTGATACTCTATGAACATCCATGCGTAATTCACATCACAGTCCACCAAAACTGATGGTAATGACCTCACATAATCCTTTGATCTCTAAGAATGACTAACATCTAATTTCTTCTTACAATATCACTCCCAAATCACACATTAAGATCACAGGAAAAAAAAAAGAAATGATTATCTGACTGAAAGAAGCTCTGACTTATTTGTTAAAAAAAATTCTCCATGGGTCAACCCCATAGGAGGTATATAGTCAGAAAAGTATGAATAATTATGCAAACAAATGTTAGAGTGTACAGAGTTAATTAACAATTATTCCACAAGCGCGCATTGGATATGAGATGATAGATAGCCAATGAGGCGCATAGCGCCGAGTTGGCTATAATCATCTCATATCCAACAAGCGCGGGTGGAATAATTGTTTTATTTAAAAAAAGGCCCCCAAGATATTAGGTTAATATTCTCGACTTTATTTTGAAGGAAGAAACCAGATGTTACGATGTACAGATATTAGATTATGGTATATTGGCTTATATACCATAATGGCTAAGCCAATACAAAGTCTTGAATTGCATTATCCAATGATCCAGTTTTTAATAATTAACGTTATTACCTTCCTAATAACACCTTCAGAGGACCAGGACCTTCACATGCTGCTGCATAATGCACTGGTTTGAAGCCATCTTTGTCAGGAACACTGTACTCTGGTACTGAGTTTAACAAAGCTTTGAGGTACTCTCCATTTGGATTAATGCAGGCTGCATGAATTGGCAAGATCTGAAAAAATAGACAGTGTAACCTTTAACCTTCTTCAAAAAAATATTGGTCCTGGCCAACAATTATTAACCAAAATCAAATACTTTTATTAATGATGATCCTTGATATAACAACTTTACTATTGTGTCTTCTCTTGTGAACTCCCAGATCTAGAAGTGATTAACTTGTAAATTCTCTCCACAATAAACATACATTATCCAGCAAACAGGTAATGAGAATACTCATAGTTACCAGGTAGAAGTTGTTTTGTTGATCTAACACTAATTTCTCATAACTAATGCACAAGGACATGTGTATCAGCTGGAAGGGAGTATAGAAAAATCAGATCTTGGGTGTTAAAAGGTTAAGATGTACTTACAACTTTATTTTCCGTGGGCTTTTTCTTTACAGACTGGCTTCTAAACTTGGACAACTCTTGATTATCATTCAAAAGAACCTGAGAGAAAACAATGTTTGATGCCATGATTTCAACTGCATGAGTTAATTAAATAACAACTTATATCAAATTAAGATGTTATTAGGAATAACTCTCTTTGTCTCAAAAAAAAAACATTTCCATTTTACAGATACTAGCCATCCAGACTAAAATGTTAAAAATGAGTGTGTCATGCTGTTAAGTATGTGGATGGCTAGTATCTGTAAAATGGAAATGTTTTTTTTTTGAGACAAAGAAACTAACTCTCTTCTGCACTGAATTAACTGAAAACTACATTCATCTTAACCAATCAGAATTGAGAAATTTTTTCATGTATATTATTATTATAATAATTTATATTACATTTCTATTGTGCAAACATCATTATAACATACGCTGTAACTTGTAAATCCATGTAATCAAATTCAATAGCGCGAGTGTGCTTCAATTTTCCATTGTGCACGCTGTTGACATCAGCAAACAAAATTAATGCCTCACGAAAAAATTTTTTTCTCGCAAGTGAATTCAGCATTTTTCATTAAAAAAACGGGAAAAACTTCCACAAGAAAGTTAAACTAGACATGGCAACAAGCGAACAAGCCGATGAAGATCTGCCTACTTTTTCTCTGGGAATTGATTTTTTAACTCCCGATAAAGAACCCAGAGAAAGGGAAAACAAAACAATCACCGGTTTCATGTTGTTTCGGAACTCTAACTTCATTTCCACGCATGAATGCACCTGTCAGTTTTTGACCAATCTGAGACAAGATCATTGAAGCATGATGAAATACTTTTCCAAAACAAAATAAACAATGCATTGAAGCACAGGAGAGGGAATTTCTGCCCTTTATACATAAACTACAGTGTTGAAAATGTTATAAAACAATTGGTTCATACATCAGCTGGGCGTTCATGGAGATATGAAGCACTTGGGAAGTTTGGAGAGCACTCAAGAAGCTAGAGTTGCTCTCGACTACACCTCAAGCAACTCTTACACATCTTTCATGCTCTCCAAACTTCCTGCATGCCCCATTATCTCGATGAACACACCCTGATGAATGAACCAATTGTTAAATATAAAAATTCTCATTTGTGCTTTACAATATGGTAATACATCTATTTACAAGTTAAAAATACTATAATTTATATAAATGAAAGATACTTTAAATGAAAATTACAATAATACAGAAAATAAATTGATAATCAAGTCTAAAAATTACAATGAGTGATTTCAACTTTCATACTAAGAATGGCTCCTTAAATAAGTGAGTCTTTAGTTTCTTTTTAAATTAATAAAAGATTGACACAATTTTTTTCAATTTTTGAGCCAATGCGTTTCATATAAAACAATTACTAAATTAAAATCAAATAAGTAAGCACTTGCTTGATAACAGATGATTATCAAAAGTGACATCTTACCTCTTTATGCAAAAAGTTGAAACCAAATCCAAATTTGTCCACACCCTTATCAACAAAATAGCCTGCAACTTTTCTGTTTCCACTCCTGATGGCAATCCAGACACAGTCAATACCTTCCTTGATTATGAAATTCAGATAACAAAAGAAGTGTCATTTATTATAATTGTTGCTTCTTGATCAATGTACTACTTAATACTTTCACTTTAAAACACCCCACCTCCAGATACATGTAGCTTTTTCCTCCAGCTGAGACAATTTTTGAGTTCCAGCTTAATTTTCATTGAATAATATTAATATACCATTGAAGCAGAGATGCCAACCTTTAAAGATCTAAAATCGAGAGATTTTTCTCTAGTGTATTATACCTGTTCTGCCTCATGGAGGGTTGTTTTTTCCAATGAACACATTTCACTTATAAGCACTTTAACCGTCTCCAGTGGAACTTCTTTTTTGAAGCAGAAGTTAAAAAGTTCAGACAGATCGTGGCCCCTTTTCCTAAATTTAGTCTCATCCTGTAAAAAGTAAAATTATTTTATAGATCAATTGAATTGATCGATCAAAGGAAAACTAGTGAAGAATTGGATAGTGTAGCTGATGGAAAATACTTGCACTTGTCAACGTAATCTACATCAAGACTGTATTTTTCAGTCTTTTTTCTTTTATTCTACAACATGTTCCTGACAAGAATATGCTGGCCAAAGTAGAGGTGTAAAAGTAATATTCAGCTGTCCTAATTGACCAAGTATGGCATTTGCATGTCTCTCAAAATTTTGCTTCACAAACAAATGTAACTTACTTCAAGAAAAGCATTGTTGCCTTGTCTGGATCCTCTGCTGGAATGTAGATCCCTTACTGCATGACCAAAGGTGTAAAAGTTGTATCTGTGCAAGATTAGATTAAATGTAACTTGCAGAATTATAAACTACTGTGAGCTGAAAAACACACTGAGGACACATTCCTTGAAGCTATAGGTAACACCAAAATGTTTCCAACTTACGTTCCAGTATCCATGCGGTTCAAAGACACTGTAGGTTTGTTTTTGCGTGGCACATATGACTCTGTTGTAGCTAGACTTTTCAAATCTGTCAGCAAGAGTTTCAATGCCTCATGGTTTTGGTTTAAAAGTGCATAATGTATTGCACCCAACTGAACTTCGGGACTTCTTGGCCAATGAACCTGCCAGAAACAAAAAAAAAATTTAAATAAATAAACCATGGCCACATCATTCATTAGAAATAATGTGTAGTATGTAAAAATGTTCATTCTTTTAGATATGACTGTACATACTGAGTAAACATTTTCTCGGTCATCAATAACTTCTTTCAACATCTTCATGTCATTCAGCAAGACCGCTCTGGTTGCCCATTTGACAGGCATCAGGGAAATATCATCTCTACAAATGAAACAACAATCACAGTGAGACTGGATTTAATGAGATTACTGTAAATAGACAATGGGGGTATTACATAATTATTAATTATTATTAATTATATAAAAAAAAAAGCTGTTCATACTCCTGGTACTTACCAGTTATGAGGTGAAACTTTCATGTTTGTACTCACCTGGTACTTTAGTTTACACCATACAGTTAACAACACTAAATGTACATGCTATTCAAATTAACCAATCATTAATTATCAATGCATTCATAACTAATAATTGAATCAATGTCAGTGGTGAGCAACTGCACACCCACCCCTCCCCTAACTCAACATTAACCCTACCTTGTTATCAGTTGACTGCTGTTTGCATAGGAGAAGGGTAGGTGTGCAGTTGCTCACATTCAGACATCATTCCTTCTTGTCTTCAGGGAGAAGAACCTCATATCACTGTGCCTTGAGAGAATTTATGTACACGAGCAAAAGACAGTTAAGAAAATTCTTATCAACAAACCTTGTTTCAAATGTTGGATCTTTCTCAAGCAGTTCAATATCTTCATTAGGAATCAAAACTCCAGCACGCCTTGGTTTTTCTTTTTTCTCTGCAACATCTTTCTTCTTCTTTTCCTTCTTTGGCTTAGACTGGGCAGATTTCCTTTTCTTCCCTGGACTCTTTTTGGGTGTGGGTGCGGTCTTTTTCTGCCCTCTCCTCCCTTTCTTTGGAGGGGTAGGGGTTGAGGCAGCCTTGGACCCCCGCCGAGTCCTTTTTGCAGGAGGTTCATCCTCATCTGGCTCATCTTCTTCCTCATCAACTGCATCTTCCTCACCACTCACAGATTCTACATTATAACCACATAAACTATTCATAACCCGAGAATATCTAGCATTCTGTAATGAAAATAACTAGAAGCTTCCTCCCCCCCTTCTTGAGCATGCCACTCTGGCATTTGCCTTTAAGTTAGCAATATCTATTCAGTGTGTGTTGTGAAGGATTGCTGCATCAGCTTTCATTCAAGCGTAATTATTGTTTCATTTTTATTATTATTATGTTTTATAGCACCTTCTTCAGGCATGTCCTCTTCTCCATGTTCAGCAGCCAGAGATTCTCTCAACAGTTTCTTGGTTTGTTTTATGTGCTGCTTGGAGACTGCAAACTTTTCTGGTTCAAACTCTGACATTGCCACACGAGTGATAACTGAATCCATATGACATACATCGTCAAAAGAAACCTGCAAATTAGATTCCACAAATAAATCCAGTGACTGTGCAGTAAAGTATAGTTAAATCTATCTAGAGAAAAATCACACAATGAGTCTTCTTCAACTTTACACGTCACCCAAATTTTGGTCAAAAACTCAGCAGAAAGTTTCTTTACATACAAAAAATCTAGCCACAATAAAATGAAACAAATGATGTTTTAACCTGGTCATGATCATTATACAGTACAGGACTGTCGTCTAGCAGTGCCCGGTGGCCCCTGGCACCTTACTTTTGCTCTTGGGCAACTTGGGAATCTTTTATTTTTTATAAAAAGTATATGATGGGCACCCTGGATTGCACAGTTTGAGAGCACTGGGCTCCCTTCACTTTTTGTTAGAGCACAGCCTTGCAGTATATGTAAAGAAATTATCCTTAGAACTGAACTTTAATTTAAGAAATTGTAGTAAAAGAAGAGGCCACTTTGCCTGACCTTTCCCAACATGCAGCTTTATAATAGCTGTATTCAAAATCTGTTTGTTGAACTCTATTCCATCACAATCATAACTTGTTGGATGAAAGCTTTTTTTTTAGGTTTTATTGAATAATGCCAATTTTAAAAGCCCGCTGATTAAAGATTCTGACCGAAAATTGACGAAACCGAGAAAAAAACAAACAAACTTCCGAGCTATTTAAAACCTCATCAACGAAAGTGGGTGTGTCAGAGTCACGCAATACTAAATGGTCACACCACACAAAGCTGTAAACTTTGGGTATTTAAACTTCGTGTGCTTGGCATCTTTTGCAGAAAATTGTGAGAATTTTCCAATCACTGTCCGTTTAAACGATACGCACTTATATTCACCAACTGGTAAAGCACGCTTCGTGATACAAATCGAGGTAAGTTCATTAATTTTGATGAGAAATCAGTAATTGGCGTCACCTTCCTTAATGTCAGTTTCAGGATGAACACTATAATCAAAACATTCGCAAACTTCTCTCAAAAAATCACGAAAACATTTCTCCAGTCTCACCTCGTACACATTGTCATCCACTCTATTGAACCACGCAACGTTGAAGTTCGACGCGCTCTCAGGAACATCTTCTAGCACGCGGCAAACGTAGAAATCATTGTCCTCTCCTCGAACGGTTAGAAAGTCACCCGCATAAAACTCAAACTCCTCTGTCAGATCAATCATCGGCAGAGCTTTTCCTCTTTTCCGTATTGACATTAACCGGCGGGAGAGACGAATAGGAGGGTCCTCTTCAGCCGCACGTGCTTGTCCTTCGCGGACAAACATGGAAAAGGTTTTCTTGTTCAAAGGCGGTGAAAAGGAAACTGCAAGCGGCTCATTTTCGTCCTCACTGGAAACTGGAACATCCGTATCACCTCCGTCCTCGTCTACGTCGCCTTTATTCTCGGGTAAAACTTCGTCGTCCTCTATGTTTGATTCACCAGGCGCAGGAATATCTTCGGTCTCTCGCGCGTCATCTAGCTCTTCAGTACCCTGATCGATCTCAGACGGCGGACGACTTGTAGATTCACAAGTTTCCCTTTCTTGCTCAACCAGGATGGCTAGAGAAGATTGCCGTTTCAGTAGACGATTTCGTAGAGACATTTTAAGCCTTCTCTACTGTCTTTAAACAACAACTTCAACTGTATAAAAATCACAATTTAAACAAGGGCAAACCGAGCAGCTATATATGGGTGAGCTGACCAAGACTGATTCCTTCGTTCAGTGCTGTTCTATTTTTATAACAAATCTAGCGAAGAAAAATCTGTTGTCAGCTGTTTTTGGACAGTAAACAAAAAAGCGTGGGTTGAAGTCCCGGGCAAGCCTGATCCCCCAAATTAAAGGTGCAAAGAGAGTTTTCCGCTTTCCTTTTGATTGCCCAGCACGCAAGCAACTCAGAAGCCCTGGTTCTAGCTTTTTGGTTGCCGTGACACCATCAGCTGACAAAAGAAGTGTCACGACAGGACTAAGTAACGCTATTTACACAGGACGTATTTGTCACTCTAATCGCATTTTTCTTTCCTTATAAGCTGTGTTGAAAAAATCTATATATCTTAAATACAGATAATTAACCTTTTAGCAAGGGCATTTCATCTTTTTCCTTTCCTTATTTCTCAGTTCGCTTTGGGCTGTTTGTGACAACAACCAACCACGCCTCCCTGAAGATTGGATGAGCAGCAATTTGCAAGGAACTATGGGTGTGACGATATAGCACAATGGCGGAAGGGGGCAGCATCTTCTCCAAAATAATTCGGAGAGAGATTCCGTCCGAATTTCTCCACGAAGATGATCAGGTAATAGTAATAATAATTGTTATAATTTAGATCCAGGGCACAAATTTAAGTTTAAAAAAACGTGCGAATAAGTGATTATTTGAGGCCACTGTTAAAAAGAGAATTCTTTGACTCCGCCACGTTCCGCAACATATTGATTTTTTTAATTAAATATTGTTAGTTTAGGTACGATGCTGTAGTTACTCTAATAATAGAACTGTTTTAGAAGATACATTATAACCAAGAATAGACATGTCTGAGGAACAGAGTCGAGGAACGATCCATCTCGAAAGAAATTCGCACGTGAACTACAATGCATGAAAAGTTGATCAAAGTGAAAGTGAATTCCGCAATGAGGTTACACTCTTCAAATCTTGAATTTTCCTGGCAGTGTTCAAGAAGCTACATAAGGGTTATTAGCCTAAGCTTTTTTTAAATTTTTTTTTAAGCTTTAGTCGTCGTTTTCCACATACCAAGTTGATTTTTTTTTTTGCTGTAATCAGCTGTACGTCGCTCTTCATAGTCTTTGCATTCCCAAACAAATGATTATATATTTAACCCTTTAACTACCAGAGGCGATTAAAACATAACATCTCTCTGTAATATCCATACATTATCCAGAAAATAGGTAATAAGAATACTCAAACTTATCAGATCGAGGTTATCTTTATCCAACACTAAAATGTGTTCAGCTAGATGGGAGAATTAATGTTCAGTCAGATCTTGGAAGGTAAAGGGTTAATGGATCATGCAGCTGAAAGTCAAAAATATGCAGTGCTTTCAATAAGACCTGGGACCCGCTGGAACTCTGGCAGGTATTCTGATGTGAGTCGCCAGGTATATTTCACTGTGCTCAAGTCACAGTCGCCACGCTCAAGCTGCACTCAAGTCACTCTCCAGCGGGTGCTGTACCAAGGTAACCACCTATTTCAAATCTTATTGAAAGCACTGAATATGACTTAGCTTCTTTGTGTTTTTGATACATTATTATGCCTTTTTTTTTTTCATTAATGATAATTTTTCTATTTTCATTTACTTTTGTGTTGTTATTAGTGTGTTGCTATTAAGGACATCAATCCTCAGGCACCTGTGCACTTCCTTGTAATTCCAAAGAAGCCAATACCTCAACTGTCTAAAGTAGAAGACTCTGATGAACAGGTAAGACAAGGAACAATCTGGCTTAATGGCCATCCATCTTATAATACAATCCTCCAAGCTGACCTGTTTTCGTCCCAGCGGAGAATTGTTGGTCCTGCAGAAATCTGTCAGTGACATTTTTATCACTGAAAGTTGACTCTTTTAAATTCTGAGTGCGATACATGTTTGCCTCAATATTACATTTAAATCAATTCATGATTTCATTTTCATTATAACTTTTTAATCTTCTGAATTTCTTGTAGTTGCTTGGCCATCTCCTGGTGGTTGCCAAAAAAGTTGCAGCTGAACAGAATTTGGCCAAAGGCTTTCGTGTTGTAATCAATGATGGGAAAGATGGAGGTCAAGAGGTCTTTCACATTCACATCCATGTTTTGGGTGGACGCCAGATGAAATGGCCCCCAGGCTAGTCCAGGTTACTAATTTTACACCTTTTTTAAATCATAAGGTCTGCAGGCAAAGTGGCCCCTGTTGGTTTCTACTTTCTACTTTCTTTAACCAATTGTAATTAATAATAATTCCCCCCCATCCCCCCAAGAATGGGATGCCGTTCTATCAATACCTTTATCATTTTTTGGCATATATAACTTGTCCAGCTTTCTCAAACCAAAATGAATTTCTCTTTAATCTGCTCAATACTTTTACTGTTACCAGTAGTTATTTTATATTCAGTAACTCACCATCTGGGTTTCCCCTCCCCCCTGCCAACTTAATTGTCACAGGGCATTACAGGATCCTTTAGATCTCTTAGGTCTAGCTTTTGTCTTTCTTCAGCAAAGTTTCATTTCATTGTTAAACCTATCTTTGAAGTGAATTTATCAATGAAAGTAACTAAGAAATGTCTTTCTTTTCCTAATTTTATATCATTTATTTGGTCATTTTCCTCATTCTTTATTAATTATTACTGCTAGTCAATAATTTTATCAAACTCTTAGGAAAGCCATCATTAAAAATGAAATTAGAAAAAATGTTATTCCAAAAGGAGTGCAAAGTAGCCTTCAGGGCCACGTTGTTCAAAGGTGGGTTAAGGCATTACCTAATGTTAGTGAGAAATTTGATTTCATGTCTAAAAGCTTTAAAAGAAAATTCAGTTTGAATCTTTTTGCCTGCAGTTTAATGATTCAGTTGGATGTAAAAAGAATAGGGAAAATTTTCCTAAAAAAGCCTTTGAGCAGAGTAATAAAGAAACCTGAATTAAAATTTAACCATGGTTGAGTGCTAATCAGCCTTTGCACAACTGGGCCCAGATCTTTGGAGTACAGAGGTTAATAGCTTATAAGTACCCAGTTTCCTGGCTTCCATGGCTGTTGCTCAGGGATATGGGCATGAACTAATATGGAGTAGTGCACATGAACAAGGAATCATTAGTAGAAAGGAATGGAAAGGGCTTTGTCCTTATGCTTGCTGAGTGTAATATGCTTCAGATACCACAGTTTGTGTATATGGCCAACAAGAGACTTCATATTTACTAATGAGTCAGTTTTTACAGTGGGCAGGCCAAAATAGAATGACTTCAAATTCTACTAAATGTAAAGAGCTTATTATGTATAAAAAAAGGTCACACTGCTTAGGCCTACAAAAGTATTTTTGGCATACCTCAGACTAGTACATTAACCATTCTAGGCCTCAAATTTCAGCCGAACTGCAAATTCAGTACTCAGCTAAAAGAAAAGTTAGGTAAAGCTAATAAATGTTTATACGTTTTCTGAGATGCCTCTGCAAAAAAGGTTGTAGCCAAGTAGAAGTCGATGTTTTATTTAATTCCATTGTCCTACCTAATATTACTTATGCTCTATCTGTGAATGGGGCGTCTGAGTCAGAGCTAACTATAGCCCAGCAGTTTTTAGATCGTTGTTTTAAACTTAGTTACATATCTAAGAAATTAGTGATAGGTGACTTACTTAATGTGCAAGATCACAAAATTTGTAGCAAGGTTTCTACTATCCTTAGCCACCCTCTTAGAGCCTACTTCCCTTAAACCAAGATTATGAGATATAATTTAAGAATTAAATCCCCTGTAATGCCCGCCATTCGTACGAACCATTTTAAGAATACATTTTTTAATAGAATTGTTTTTAAGTACAATGTAGCTTTGTAAAAGTGTACTTCTTGTATTTGATTTTTGTATTTGTCTCTACGTATATATTTATCTTATTTAGAGATACACCTAAGCTCATTTACACCCTTTTTTAATGTAACATAAGATATGTAATTTTATCTTTTGAACAATAAAGACACTATTATTATTATTATTATTATTATTATTATTATTATTGTTATTATTATTATTATTTACTTGGCATGTTTACATGTTATTTTGATGGACTTCCTGATGAAAAGTTATTTTACAATTGCAGATGAGGTTGCCTGCCCCAGACTATGAGCCGAGGGTCTGTAAATCATTAATTTCCATAATTAAGTGAAGTCTTAAGGCAATGGAATCAAGTGGTCTAGAACAGTTTCTGCAAATCCCCTGTTTTGGTGGCAAGAAATAAATGTATTTGTGCACAACCCTCGCAGTAAAGCGCACTATTTAAGCAATAGTGAAGTTCAGACTTGAAAAAATTCAGGCCTCTATGGGATTCGAACCACTGACCTCTGCGATACTAGTGCAGTTCTGCTGCACTAGTACTGCAGTTCAGATATATGAATTTCATATATTCGTTGTCAAGAAATAAATGATTGTACTTTCTTGCTTAAATGCCAGACCCATATTAAAATGCTGGCCTTGCAAAAAAACACTGGTTTAAAACTGAAGATTTTTAAGTAAAGGCTAAGTGTGTTTAATTAAGATAATACGATATGTTTAATCCACATGAAATGGATACCAGTTCATTTCTGGTGCCTCTCAGCTTTTTATTAGTTGTCTTTCTGTCAGTTTACCCATTTGAACACTTTGGTGTGGACTGGGTGGGACTATCACCCAGACCTCTTTGGTGTGGATTGGGTAGGGCTAGTACCCAGACCTCTCGATCCAGCATGTAGCCCGTTAACTACCCCTATCATATCTCCCATTTTACTTATTCCAGGTGTTAAATCAATGCTGGAATCCTTGATCATTAGAATCCTTGCCGTTTTCTTGGGAAAACGATGTATTAGTTTAATTTTCTTCCTTTTCTCTTTAGTCTTAGATAGCACTAGCAACCAACGACTCCTGACGAAGTAGAACATAGGCTGAGAGGGTTTTTGCAAGTTACAAGACTTTTGTGAGAGACTGGTTCAAAATTTTTTCATTTGTATTGTCCCTCAAATAAAAACGGCAAGAAAATAAACTAAAATTTTGCCATAACCTTCGGAAACCGTCTTGTTGATTTCTTAAAACATTAGGGACTTTAAGAAACCGCGACGGCGACGCCAAGGAAGATTTCGATTAAAAAATTAATTTCTACTCTTGGTCAGGATTTAAAAAATGGCTGCGGGAGCTTACTGTCTCATACAGCGCCACAGCTCAACTTCAGTATGGCGTATAAAGTAGCCGTTGAGTTCCAAATGGGAATTAACATAATTTGCCGTCGCGGTTCCGGTTCGCAGGCGACGCAAATTTTGGCGATTTCACGTTGTTGTTTTGCATAGGACGGCTAAGAAATGTACAAAGTTTCAGAACGCACGTGCTGAGCTATTGTTCTGCCAATTAGAACTCTTGTTTTTCTACGTCCTTGTTGCCGTCGCCGTCGTGGTTTCTTTAGGTCCCTATTTTATTTGGAAGGATGGAGTGGTCTCCAAATGGCGCACGAGTGTCCTACGGAGAGATACCACTCCAGATAGATAGCCCAGCAAGTAGTAACTTACAAGAGTGAATGCTGAGGCCAGAAACAAGACTAAGAAGATAAAAAAGTGATTTTAAGCCAAAATCAATGTCACTTAATCAGGTAGCCATTAAGATTTCAGAATGTTGGTTAAACATTGGAAAAAGCAGTGAACCTTCATTTCCTGCATCAAACCTTACCGTTGTACAAACCATTCCGCACTGAGGGAAAAGTTCTGTAAGGTCAACAAAGGATTGGTGGTTTCGGGCTCGATTACTTGATCACCAGCCGCCGTTCGGGGAATGAACCTGTACGCGCACCCTACACCTCCCCCCCACTCCACTCTCTCCGACGCTCTTTTAATTTACAGTGTATGAGGTAGGCGTTACTTGGAAAAAAAAGTAAAATAAAATAAATAGCACGCGATGACCCCGTAAGGTACTTTGGGTAGTTTCCAGGGTGGAGGGAGGTTTCTCCAGAGAGGTGGCCTGGTGAGGAGCAACATACCAGAATGACCAAACCAATGGCGGATGTAGGGGAAGGGAACGCCCCCTCCCCTTATTTTTGAGTAAAAACAAAAACGCGGAGGGAAGAAAAGTCGGCAGCTAAACACACACAAGCTAAAAGCTTCCCCTCCCCCCCCTCCTCCTTAGCCCAAGGTCTAAATGGTCATCGTGCGTGGACTGCAATTTAAGGAGTTACAGAAAAGAAACCTGGAAAAAAAATCAGACTTCGACGGGATTCGAACCCGTGACTCCCCACCTAGATACTAGTAGTGCGCTACTACCGACTGAACAATGAAGCCACTCTCTGGAGCGAGGCGGATTGTAGGATATTCATATTTCCCGTAAAGGGGAATCTGATCGCAACCTAGACTGAGTAACGCAAGAAGTAGAACCGATAGGGAAAACGTAAGGGATTATAGTCTACTTGTAAAAGCACCGAGATTCCCGCATTTCACCCATACTAGATAATTCGTTTGAACTTTCAAAGAACTTTGAATAGTTGATCAAAAACATGATTCCCTGAACCAACGATCGTTTATTTAGTTTAACAGAACCAAAGTTAAAAGTTGTGTTAAATCTCATTCCTGTGTTAAAAAGGGAAAAGAAAACATACACACACATACACGTACCCATAAACGACACTACTCTTTGGGTTAATTTGGAACTTTTCATTGTTGATGGGGAATTATACATATCCCCGATCTAAGACATTTTCTATAGAACCTACCACCTAATTGAATCCATCTATCATCCATTGTATATCGATGAAACAGACCAAAACTAACAGTAAAACATGAACTAGTTGTTAGATTGGGACATAAGTAATGGAACAGGACTGAATGGAGTCCGATTCGGTCGGTAATCAAGCGGGTGATGAACAAAACCTGTTAATTACGAGTACGAATAGAGACAGAATTGGACGAAACGAACTTCCTGAATCCAGTTATTCAAATCTATGGCAAAATTTGAGAAACAAACTAGCCTTTAGTTAGACGTTATAACCCTGTGAACATGGTGCCTAGTAAAATTGGAAAACAATCGTTGACTGACACCAATGTCCAAGTTCTCAGTGTGCCTATCTATATCGAACTTACGGCGAGGCTCAGTTCAAAAGTCAAAAGATCAACTATACTCAGAGAAAAATATAGAACAAATATTCCTAGTTAAAAGTGAATAGAACAATTCCATGTCCTGACATCATTAAAGATTTAAACGTAGACAACATCATGTTCCAGTAGTTTATCAATATTTACAATAATATAGTGTGAACAACTTTGACGGTGTTGCCCTTTTCCTATATTTTTTTTTCTGCTTTTCTCAAACGAAAAGAAGTTGGTTCGCCAATTTTCATTCTGATGTAAGGTTAAACAAATCTGGTAATTTTTTTGGAATTCTGTCGCAAATCGAACCCACGAAATGATAGCATACACAGCGAGGCCGGTTAGGTGTTGGCAGGCTAAAAGGGCACACTTCTTTCTAGAAAAATTAGCAAGTTAATATTCCCATACATATTTTCGGGAGTTTGCTGCTGATTACAACCTAGCTCTAAAAATTAATTGAAGCGGATACCTTTTTGGCTTTATTTGAAACAGAAATGAGTAGAGGCAAATGACGAAATTTCGTGCGCTTAATTGCCGAGGTGGTCCAACGTTTGGATTTCATGACGTAGAAAGAATACAAATCCTACCAACTCTCAAAAGTTTTAACTGAAACAAGTTAATTAACGTCTTTCAAGTTTCCAGTATTACGGAAAACTATTTGTTGAAAAAAGAGGCATTGGTTCTTAATTTTTTAATCATATCTCAAGCGACATTCAAATGGACAGCAGAGAAAGTTGCCTTGTGATAGTGACACAAAAAAGAACAAAACAAAACAAAACAAAATTGTGATCTGCTCCTTTCCGTGACAAATAGCACAACAGAAGTACGGAAGGCGTTGAATAGGATATTGAACAAATCACGATTTATAGATATTCATTTTTGTCGCGTGTCACGGCAAAAAGTGCTTGCATTCTTTTCTGACAGCAAAATTTCTGTCCGGAATGAGACAAAAGTAGTCTTCCAACTGAAATCTGTGGATATGTCAAACATTTTTAGCCACTCATTATCTTATCAACAGAAGAACACTTTTACCCAAAGCGTTAAAAGTTGTATATTTATCAACTTTTTAGAATACAGCAAATTCTTCAGCTCAGACATGCAATATGGTCTTAACTCCAGATGAAATAATGTTCAATCAATATTCCTGACAAGTAAAACGATTTGTTTCCGAGCAAGATCAATCTTACTTAACACAGTGATTTGCATCGTGGCCTATTTCTAAACAATATAACATGTTACAAGCGAATGAATTTGATTTCTCAAAAACGCATAACTTTTTCGTTACTCTTTTTTTCCCTTTTTATTTTCTTTTATTAGTCGTTTTGCAAAAGGAGGACATTACGGAGTGTATTAAAGGTCTCATACCATTGATTCGTTGCTGATGAATTGGTAGTAAAGATCGCGAACTTCGTCAGGTGTGTTAGCAAAAATAGAGAAGTTCGACTTGCAACCGTTTTCGTCGTCAGCGGCATTCAAAACTACGATGAGTCCCTTTCCTCTAGCGTTGATTACGTTTGCTTTCGCAATGACTTCTCTTGGTAACAGCTCGTGCTTGTGGTAAGAAAAAATTGCTGAATGCTTCCGACCGAAATCCATGGCCATGTACCTGGCTAGCAACAAATGAGTCGTGTCGTCGCCGATTCTTGGGTTCAAATCGACCAAGTACTTTCCCTGATCAGTGATAATAACTTCAAACGTGACCAGGCCAAAGTAGCCACGCTTTTGGAGGTAGTTCTTAATCGGAACGGTAAATTCTTCGTAGACGAGCTTCTCATATTCGTCGTGTTTGTTCCAGTCCACTACCGCACCGGTCCAGCCATAGCCTTCAAATCCACCTACTGTGGTTCCCACCCAGTATAAATCACCTGATTTGTGCAGGTAAAACTGAAAGCTTGGCACTTCTTTGATACGAGGGATGACCTCTTGATACAATACGTCCCCATCCCAACCACAATCTTCTCTGATGTTCCTCAAAGTAGCGGCCAGTTCAAGCTGGTTCTTTACAAGCCTATTTCCCCGCCCTCCGCTGCTCATATCAATTTTCAGCAAGCAGGGAAAAGTTAGGTGATTTTCATCCATGTGTCTCGGAGTGGGTGCCTTGATATCCTGCAGGGAACTCTTGAGTTGAAGTTCGTACAGAATGTCCGGATGTATAAAGTGTTTGTCTTCAGGGATGGCTTCTAGCGCGGCTCTTGTCACGATCGGAACGTCATCTTGTAATCCTTCATCCGGCGATTTTACGATCGCGGTAGGATAAGCGGGGAGCCATAGTTTCCAGTGCTGCTTCAAAAATAATTCGGGTCCGCGCTCCATCAAGACCGGAATTTCATTGCCGGCAGCAGCAAGGTGATAACAGGGCGATACAAGCCGGCGAAATGTTGATGAAGATGTTGGATAGTCGAAAATTCTGTATTTGATCGAGTTGAAGAATCTGTATTCTTCTATATAAGAAGACGGTTTCTGTGGAAGAAAATAGGCCTCTTTCAGGTCTTTCTTTATCAGACTTCCAATTGTGATCGCGTTTATCGACGAAGACATCGCTTTACGTTGTGTTGCTTGTCTGAAGGTGTCGAAGGCTTCTGGAGGAACAGGTCTGCCGAATACTCTTAATGAATAATGAAGGAAATCGTGAGTATATAAGTAAAGCATTAAGATTATAGACAAATATTGATGTAGTTGAAAGTCCAGTAGCATGCACTTAATATAAGTGATCGCGTGCATGGGAAAATAAACTAAAACTTAATAAGTTTTAACGTAATATATGTTTATATTCTTTATCTATCGTATTTTAGCCTTTGAGAGACTTGACGTCGCTGTTTTATGTTAGGAACCGCGGACTCGTTCAGGAATATTTTTTCTGCTATTCATCAAGGTTGTCCTAGCCCGAGGAGCAAGTGGACTTCGCACAGTCACATGTGTGTATAAGCTTGGCTTGGACTGTCTAGTAGTAAAAGCTTTTATACGCACGTTTTTTAACAACGACACCATTCATCCACTGAAGAGAAGATTGAAGAGATTGCCAATTTTAAAAAAACTTGCAAAACATATTTTTATCAATGAATCGAAACCTGATATAATGCTCCCCAAATCCCCAATTATAATTATAGCCATTGTTGTTAAGAACGATATTTTGATATTTTACATATTTTACAAGGCAGGACAGAATATTCATTTAATTTTCGTTATGTTTAAATGCTATGTGCCGTATTTATCAACAATTACAATTATAAACTAGCTGTTCTCTGCAGTAAGAAATCCAGTTGCGTCAGTTTGCAGCACAATAAAAGTTTGTTTGTTGTTTTTTTATATATATTTGCAAAATGGGTTCTTTTCTCGGCTTCCTAAAAAGTAAATCTAAGGGGAACTGGAAGTGCAATATAATATGAGTAGGACCATGACAAAGTAGAATATTGATAAAAATCGGTGAGAGTTCAGGAAAGATCTCTTTGATCAATATGGTTATGACGTCATGACTGTGCATGTGAATCACAATAGCGTGGTGGCTTTTACGGCTTACGGTTAAAACGGTAGCCATTTAATAACGGCTAACGGTTACTAGTTCTATTGTTGTCCTAAGAAATTTCATCTACGTTAAACTGGTGGTTAAAATTTTTCAATTTTAATGTGCAACGGCTAATTTCTTTGGCCAATGGAGCTCTCGTGACTAGTAAAAAAATTTTAAAGTACATGATGTCCTCTTGATGAGTAAGAAAAAAAATTCGATGCTAACATCAAGCAATCGAGATTTGGAATAAATTTAAAAAACTTGAACTACGTTAACTTTCAGTTATGGCGCATTTTATCATTTTGATTGTTGTCATTACCTTCAAAAATCTGTTCTTCTTTTTAACTAAAAAGAAAACCTTTTATTTGATCCGAAGCGTTTACTTTTCGCCTGCCTCAAAGATCAAGTGCACACACTCTCGTGAGAAAAATCGTTGATTGGAAAAGGACTGGTAAATAAAACTTATTACGTGAATTTACCCTGGCAATAATCGTCCTTTCAAAATCTCCCGTACAAAAAATTTAGTTTTCCAGTCTAGACATTTTGTTTTGTGGTATAGACTTCATGACGATGAGAAATCTGCTCAAAAAGCGAGATTGCGAGACTTGTACAATTTCATAAAAGTTTTAAACATAATATTGACAACCCAAGTTCAACTCACACAATGACTTATCGATATTTTATTTATTGATGTAAATAAAATATCCCGCCCGAAAGAGATATTTATTTAGCAACTCATCCAACACATTGTGAATAAACAAAACACTGATCAAAGGGCCCGATGACATTTCGTTGAAGCTATAGGTCAATGTATTTCAGTATAGCTCCACTAATATTCTGACAAATTCGCTGTAACATGATTGGCAACCCCATTCGCTATTTATTCCGTGATATTCATTGATTTGTGGTGAGTGAAGTTCGCAGCCTGGCAGAGTACGTTTGTAAATAAAATAAAATGAAATAAAATCCTGAGCCTGTCTTGTTTTTCAGGTTTGAATGACCAACGGATTTAAACAAAAGCGATTGAATATTTTGTTCTCATTTTCTATGAGCGATATTTTATTCTGGCTTCGTCCTCATCAGCTGTCACGCGAAAGAAATCCCGAGGCCATGATTTATTTGTTAGATAGAGTCACACTAAAGTGTGGAAATTAAGCCCGTGCGACCCAAAAAACTATATGTTTCCTTATGGGTACACGTCCAAAGAGTGCGTCTTAAGTTGATGAAAAATATAAAGTTAGATTTAAATACTGCTTTCAAATATTGCACAATCTAAAACACAGAAAAAAGAGAGCGCCTTTATTCTTAATTCTCATGTTATTCAGTGGAACTATATCTTTATCTAGAGGAAATAATTGCGGTAAAAGTCAATGCCACGGGCTACCTCTAAAATAGTTAAATAGATAACACTGAACGGGGGACTCCGTCTTGCTATAAAGGCCAGTTCCATATATAATTAAGTCTATTTTGGATCAAAAATCGATCAAGTAGATGTTAGACTAGGTCGTCCAGGCAAGTGTAGTCCTTGAAAAACACCGGTGCAAGATTCAGTGGCTTGGTGATATTCCGACAACTTAAACGAAGTCATGAACAGCGTTAAGTTGCCCTTTTGACTCTGATTATTTGCATCTCTCGCAATATCACGCAACACACATGATGTCATTAATTATACCAGCAACCCGGATAAGAATTAAGCAAATATCATACATGTATACGATGAAAGTGAAATATTGAGTGGAAAATGACGCAAAAACTTATAGAATGCACGTTTGTATTGCACTCCCTCGAGAAAGACCAATAGCAAGGTAAACTTAAGTCCCTCTTAAGTTCCTCTTAAGTCCCGTCTTGGTCGTTAGACCAAACACCATCGCCATTTGACCTTTCTAATGTGTCAAATAGGAGGTCTAGTTTGACTTGGCTCAAACACTCAGAAGTAGCACAACAGGTAAAATTGATTTCGTATTATTTACTCGATATAACACTGGCAAATGATCGAAGACCAGATGCTGGACCCGCGCGAACAGTGAGGTCTGAGTTGCCCTTTTAACTCTGATTATTTGCACCTCTCGCAATATCACGCAACACGCATGATGTCATTAATTATACCAGCAACCCAGATAAGAATTAAGCAAATATCGTACATGTATACGATGAAAATGAAATATTGAGTGGAAAATATATCTAACTCGGGTGACGCAAAAACTTATAGGCGGAATGCACGTTTAATATTAATATTGCACCCCCTCGAGAAGAGCTAATAGCAAGGTAAACTTAAGTCCCCCTGATGTAACCTTCGTTAGACCAAAGACTATCGCCCTTTCACCTTTCCAATATGTCAAATAGGAGATCTAGTTTGACTTAGCTCAAATACTCAGAAGTAGCACAACAGGTAAAATTTATTTCGTATTATTTACTCAATATAACACTGGCAAATGACTCCCTATGCCGCAATCGAGAACATCACATCATCTGATGAAGACCTTAATATAGAGACGGATGATGAGCCCGCGCACACAGTAAGGTCTGACATCAAAGTGATTTTGAAGCGTTAAATAAACGTCACCTACGCGTTTGATTTGACAGTGGGTGTACGATTGCTACAGACACATTATTCAGTTTCCTCGAGTTCGGTTTTAAGTGAAGACTTAGCTGCTTGCTTCGAAAAACATAAATTATACGCAGTTCTCTAAGGCCTTCTATAGCTAACCTGAAGTATAGTGTAAAACTAACATTCAAAATTTAATAAACCCTCAGGCTTCTTTATAAAAGGTAAGGAGAGTTGTAGTCTCGTTTACACACTTAATGCTTCTTGAACGGTGAAATTAAATGAGCAAGCGCGAATAAACTTGAGTGATGTTTCGAGAGTGAGTTTTAAAGGAAAAAAGCATATTTTTCTGTCTCTGAAATGCTTTTGTATGTTTTTTTTTTTTCTAAAGTGTTCGAGCCCTAAACTGAACAAGTCAGAGTAGACGTAACGACCTAAACTGTGAAGTCAGCGCGACCCTTTGTTTAGTGGCAATCAATTGCCTCGCCCTCCCGAACCCAGTTTTTGTCTTCAAACCTCTTGAGTTACATTAACGCCATAGAATATCACCCTTACGCAAAAGTTCCTGCACCAAAAAAAAATTATAGCCTATAAACTCAACATATGCCGAAAGCGATTTAAACCATCCGATAAACATGTCCCAGAGGATAACTTACAACAGCGCCTTTGTCTTGAAACGAAGGAGGGGGTATCTTCAAATAAGTTTCCTTCGATTGTTTGTAAACTGCTGATGCAGTCCGGCCAAAGTCCCCCGAAAAGTGTTGTGATGCGCATTTGATCATATCCACATGTTAATTTGCGCAATATAAATATATAATTATTATTATTATTATAATACCGCAGTTCGAAATATATCAACTTCATATATTCATTGTATCTGATTTATCATCACTGGTTTATTACGAATCAACTTGACGGCCTGCTCTCAGTTGGCTTGTTAGCTCCAGGGGCGGATACAGGGGGGGTGGATAGGGTGGATATCCACCCCCCCATTTTTCAGTAAAAAAAAATTCGAAATGTCACTTTATTTGAAATAGAAAATAAAGAAAGAAAGAAAAATTAGCTCTCGCTCATGTCTGGTTGTTGTTACGCCACGTTTCGTCGTCTGCCGCCACTTTTCGCGCTAAAGTTCGCAAGGAAGCCATTTGACAACGCCTAGTGAGGCGAAGTAAGATTCTGATTGGCTCATTATTGCGAAATTTGTCTGCCATCCACCCCCCCTTTTGAAATCCTGGATCCGCCCCTGAGCTCAATTGGTAGAGCGCTGCACTAGTATCGCAAAGGTCAGTGGTTCGAATCCCGTACAGGCCTGAATTTTTTCATTCGCTCCGACGAAGGGCTAACGCTCGAAACGTCAGCTTTTGTAATCATTACGGTGGCCAATTTACCATTTCAACTTTGTTGATATATCCAAATTATTTGATTTTTTTCAGCTCTGATTTTCGCTATTGCATAAATAGCGCTCTCTACTGCGAGGATCGTGCATCATACGTATCTAATACCGCAGTTCAAAATATATGAACTTCATATATTCATTGTA